AAAAAAAAAAAAAAAATCTAGTTAAATATAACGAATCGTTTCGATATCGGGAAAAAAATTCGTTCTTTTTTTTCATATTTACAGAATTTGGTAGAAGAGGAGGGAGAAGAAACGGCGGGTGGAAATATCCAGGATATGCAACTGCAACACAACGAGCTACGAAGCTTGGACGGCTCGTTATTTCTTGGAATGAAGGAATTGCAGAAGCTAAATCTCAGTTACAACGCTTTAGGACCGACGATTGGACAGCGTGATCTACGAGGTCTCGATGGTCTCAAAGTCCTCGATCTCTCTCACAACGAGCTTACTACACTTGAAGATACGTCGGAGGTATAATGTGCATGAAATTTATTCAAACGTATTTAATTGATTTGACTACCGTGGAGACTTTATGTCTACATTCCCAAATTCGTCTATTTTCCACGCATTACGTGGGAAAATATTTTTTTTACAAAATTTACAGTGACATGAAACTCGTGAGTGACCTTTAATTAAAAACTGCTGAACTCATCTCGATCAATAGTGTCATACTATAATTACGAAAGTATAAAGTTCTATTAAAAAAAAAAAAAAAAGAAGAAAAAAAAGAATATCTCTTTCAAATCTGTACTTGTAAGAAGAAACAAGTAATCGTTACAAAAATTAATTATATATTTTTTTCAATTTCTTACAATATATACCCTAAGCAATTTTATCGCAATATCGTTGATGATTCTGCATAGACGTGGCTTCCCTCTCTCGAAGAACTGAACGCATCGCACAATCGTTTGGTGACATTGTCTGAAAGAGACTTCCGTGGATTTCCTGTTCTCTGTTGGGCAGACGTGAGTGCAAATCGGATACGTACTCTAATGCCAGAACTCGTGGCGAACACACGTTGCACTGTTCACGGTGTGCCTGACGTACTTCGCATATATCTTCAAGGTAAGATTGAAACGTATCATTAAACGTATAATTAAATACAAATATTACGCGATCAGCGTGCAAGCTTGAATAAATTTGTACTAATTACCAATTTCTTTCCTCAATGTGTTTGATTAAAACAAATGACTAGGCATCAGGAGAAGTTCATGCACAAAATATCCTGAATTTTCCTCAAAATGTAATCTTATTTGTACAACTTGTTTTCAACAAGTTTTCTATAAGTTTATACGTTTATAATTATTATAAAAGCGTTCCAGCTGAACTTAATTTGAGATTTAGTTTTGGTTGCGATTCATTTGCAAAATATATTTACAAAATAATTCGCCATAGGCAAAAGGAAGTAGATAATAGTCGCAAGGAAGTTTGAACTGTAAGAAGAATATGGAAGAGTATTCCTGACAGATAAGCAATGAACTTCGATTAAAATTTATGTGTGATCAGAATCCGTAAAAAAATATTTTTTATGTACCTAATATTTCCAATCGATGATAGGGTTAAAGGCGAGGTTTCATTGACATGCAGGATCGATGCGTCATTTCTTTAATGAAACAGAAAATATTGGCGAAAGAATTGTCACAGGTAAATTGCATGAAATGAGAATAAATAATAATAAACAAACTCCATGGAATAAAGGAATATCTGTAATTCCAGTAAAATGCAGATTTCATTTTAAACAAAGCCGAAAATTTTCTAATCTCACTTTGTTCTGATCATCTGAATCAACGGCACGAAATAATTCCGCCGATAGATCAACAAGAGTTGGAGAAAACACGATGCACAAATAGAGTGCGGATGTTTATATTATGGAAAATTTGTATGCAAAAAAACGTACATAATGCT